GCACCTCAGTGAAAACATCCCTACACAAGCTCTGAAAAAGGTACAGTATGAGTCCTTTTCTTATGAAACATTGTGCAGTCAATCTTAAGCTGATAAACCAAACAAAGAGAAGAATGTGCATACTATTTGTATTTAACCATGCAGGGTTCTTGCTCACAGCATGTTGTTCATGTTTTTTAATTCATTTTTAAATTTCTTTCAGGTCTTCTATCCTCACAACAACTCGGCTCAATGATGTTGTATCAGATTGATCCTTTTTCAAAGCGTCTTGCCAACAACTCTGACACATCCGGATTTGTCTGGGAACCATTTGATTTTGAAGTTTGTGAAAGCCGTGCAGTGGGCAGACATATTTGGGCTGTTATTACAATATTGTCCTTTGTTTTTGGTTTTCCTGCATGCATTGCCATCCTCTGGGAGATCTTCAAGACTTACAAGAGAGGGACCCCTTTCACACCAAATGATTTCTTCATACTGAACCTGTGCATCATGGATATTGTCTTCTTGGCCTTCATCCCTCTGGGCTTTTTGAATCATTTCATCTGGAAAAATTGGCCGCTTGAAGCAACTTGGAACTGTACCTTTGCGTTGTCCACTTGTGGGAGACCCCTGCTGATGGCTTGTATCTGTCTGGACTGTTACCTGGCCGTGGTTCATCCCATCACCTACCACAAGAGGAAGGGTCTTACTCCCAGGGTTGTGATGGCTGGCATCGTTTGGATTTTTACGGTTGTTTATGGGATTGTATACTTTCTTATTTACAGGTTATACTTTAGCATTTTTTCCACCATTCCATTTGTAATATCTATGGTACTAATTGGTATCTGTGATACTTTCATCTTCCATACATTAATTAAGTCAGACCATGGAAGAAGAAGCATCCACCCGCAGAAGAAAAGAGCCATCAGGACCCTCGTCAACAGCCTGGTGATGGTCGGCTTGTTTTACTTTCCTCCATTCCTTTTGTTTACAATCGGGAGGCCAGTGATGAGTCTTGGTACCTTCATATGCACTATTGGCTATCCGATTTCTATTACTTCCAGTTGTGGATCTGCTGTCATGCCTATATTACATATTAGCACATGTGGGAAATTCGATTATTTGAGGGTGGGGTGCTGCAAGAAGTCCTAATTCATGCGTCCTTTGCTTCCTGCCTCTCTGTCTGAGCTGAAGAGCATTTTAACTTTCAGAAGTCGAGTTTCAGTCAGCACTGATATTATAGAAAATTCAAATTACCACAACTTGGGTACCCAGGTGGTGAAAGGAGTAATCACATATCTTACTGAAGTAAGAGTAGCAATGCTATAATCATATATTAGATTACCTGATTATAATTATTGACACATTAATGTGTTCATCACAGGTAAAGCTAAAGCTAAGTTTATTTACTTTACATACTGCTGCTGGATATATTCTTAACATATATTTTTGTCATAGTTTATTAATTTGATCATTAATATTTTGTATTTCATAATCATTTTAATCAGTAACTAGTTACTAAAGTTGTCAGATAAATGAAGTGGAGAAAGAAGTGCAATATCTGCATTCAAAATATAGTGTAGTAGAAGTAGGATATAGCATGAAATGTAAATAAGCAAAGTACAAATACATTTCTTACCCTATATTTAATCTTTTTAATGTAATGTTGTTGTTTTTCATTATGTCCTTTTGTGTGTGTGATGTGTGCTCTAATGATTTATTTTGCCTTACATACAAAAATAAGAGTGGAAACTATACTGTGTAAAACAAATATAAATACATCTATATTCATCAGATACTGCTTTAATGCTTGGGTGTCTGTGTATTTAAATGAATGTTGATATTGTGATTATATATCAGTAGTTGAATGTACAATAAAGCCGCTGAAGGCCATTGTTTTTCTTGTGATTATTGATGATAAACCACAATTCCTCCATAGTGGAGAACAGGCAACTTCTGTGTATCATTTTATATCATTTCAAAACCTTAGAAATGGACATCAATCCAAAATCAAAAAAGTAATGAAAAGTGACACGTTTTCTTCTTGGTTTAGGACTAAAAGTGTTTCCAAGATAATCTTTAAAGTTTCCTTTACATAATTTATCAATTTAAAAAAAATGTGTCTTTCTCCTTAGAGTTTGCATAGGTTTTTGATCGGGGAATGTACATTTATATAATTCTTTCACATAAAATGAAAGATACAATTATCAAAGGAAACAAGAAAATAGTTTTTATAGAAAGAAAATCTTCTTTGGCTCAATACAAATATCTGAAAGTAGACGAACAATACCGCTGCAGTTCCTTTGACCAGCACTGGGTGGCAGAAAACGTCCTTTTTTAACTAAAACATTCAGGGTTTTTCATTTGTGCAACTATTAATGTGTCACGCGCCAAAACTTGTTAGACCCACACACTTAATACATTTAATCAGTATTGTGTGTCAAGGTAAAGGTAGAATTGTTCTTTTAAATGACAGTCTTAATCATAATGGTGTTTATTTTTGTGAAATCCAGTTTACACAAGAGGCCTGGTGTTATAAAGTAACATAAAATAAAACTGAATACAAAAAAATGCAGTTGTTCACACTCTGTAGAGGTTTAGAAAACATTGGAGTTGTAAGTTGTCGGTATGAGTTTAATGAGACACACAATGTATGCAAACAATTACAAATAAAATGACCATTTCTTCATAAATTATTTTCTTATGTATATAACTCCCGCCTCCCTCCACAGTAGAGCCACTGGTCACAATGTATTCAATCAAATTAGCTACCAAAGTGATTGTTTTTATTTATTTACACTACACATTTACATCATGCGACTCACTGACCAAATAAGAAAGGAAACATTTTAAAAAAAAAATCTCCCAAAAACATGGTTGTTATTATTATTCATGTCCTGTCACAATCACACACACTGTGAAAGGTTTAAAAAATATTCACATGAAAAGTATAAAAGATACATTTTCTTCAAAATGTATATTACAGGTATTTAATTTTATAAAACCTTCAGCACACTCTCATTAGTTCCTTCTTTCCTTTTGGGCTTATCTCTGGATAAAAACATGCAGGTTCTTACTTCGGTCACATTTGAGACTTTTTAACAGACTTTTGTCGATGTTTAAAAAACTTACAAAACAGTTGCAGGCCTCATTCTCATTCAGGTTAAGCTTCACAATTAAAAAAGCGACAAACAACCTTTTACTCTTTCCACATTTTGCCCGAGAAGATTTAACGTTAACATAAACCAAGTCACCAGAAACATGACAAGAGTCAGCTCTCCAGATCTGCCTGCTTTTAGTACAAATGAACAGTTTTTAATCAAAACAAACAGAAAAAAAGGACACATGGTTTTAAGGAGAACAGCAGGTAGATCCTCAGCTCTGAGATTCATTGGTCATGTTAGGCCACATCATCTAAAAGGAACATTTTATACATGAAGACACTACAGTGTAAACACCAGTACATCAATAGTGATTGTATAGAAGGTCTATTAATATCCGTGAAAAAATATATCACATTCTTAAGGAAGCCGGGACGTCTGTAAGCTGTGCTTTAACATCGTTACATCCTGTGAAAACCTTAGTAGTTTTATTTTTTTTTAATGAACGATAGCACCCCCTATCGCCCACATTTCTTCACACAGTTCAGTTGAGAATTTCAATTGTTTATACAAATATTAAGGATTCACTGGTGTTACTGTGTAGTATAAGAAGACCCGGGGTGCACCTTTAATTTATTTTAAGGGTTGTAACCTCAGAGAAAAACGTTTTAATCAATCTAAAGTCTTTTTTCATTTGGAGATAGGAAGTCTTCACCAGACAGCAACAGTAATGTGAAGGGTTTCATTCCAAAACACTATGTATATATATTTATATAAACTGTTATACGAGTCCTATCACTCAAAAATATTCAAATTCAATCTAAATGGTGTAAGTATATGATAGTTGATAATTCAAATAAAGTCTTATCATGTTTTTAGAAAAACATGTTATATTTTTACAGAAATTCTTATAGAAAATCACTTTATCCTTTTTCTGGAACAAAACTCTTCAACACCCGTATGAGAACATCAAGACAAAAGACTTTCAGAGTAGAAACCGATGTGTTGATGGAGGGTCGTACGCATTTCAACAACCCATTCCATTTTTCAAGACTTGTGTCAGGATTTCGAAGCCCCCAAACACTGAACCAGGTCAAAACCTCTGCAGAAAATAAACTCTATTACTTTCTTTGCACGCTGTGACAACAAAAGTGGTCAGGACGCACGAGTCAGAGAGCACTGAGTTTCCAACATGGACATGAGGGTGAGACAATGGCTCCATTGACGTGGGGTTGACCACCCCCAGCCCCTACACCAGCTAACATAAAAAAAATGCTGTTGATTATTAACTGGGAGCTTAGTGTCTTCTCTCTGAGTGGAATTCTAGCCATGCATTGATTATCCAGACCCAGCGCAGCAATGCTTCTGTCTCCTCAGATTCAGCTCCAGTGCAGAGTGCATTGCTTACTTTTACACAAACAACACAAAAAGGCAGGATTGCTTTTTGTTCCATAACTGGGAGCAAACCCAATGTTTACATACATACATGCACATTCTTCTCTTCTTGTTGAATTTAATCATCAATAGCTTGTAGTGCGTTTCTTTTGCACAGTAAAAGGCCACCAACATCAAAAGGCTCATTGTAATAACACAAGCGTGGGGGACACACGCAGCATCCTGCCACGTAGTACAGGATTCAAAATGCACAAAAGATTCCCTAATTAGTTAAAAAATAATCCCTGATTCGCTGGCTCTAATTTAGACACAAGTACACTTTGTTGTTCAAACGAAAAACATAATTTCTGAGAGTTTCCCAGCCCTCGTATTTCATGGGTCGTACCACAAAGTAGCTGCAGCCGAGACACACACACACACACACACACACACACACACACACACACACACACACACACACACACACACACACACACACACACACACACACACACACACACACACACACACACACACACACACACACACACACACACACACACACACACACACACACACACACACACACACACACACACACACACACACACACCAGTGTTGCACAATGCCTCTGTCTTCTCCATACAGGATGCCTTTCTTTCAGGGAGCATGCTTACTGGCCAGATGGGCTGCTGGCCACTCTCTGGCCAAAACAAAATGGCTTTGAGTGTGTTGAAGACCCCCATCAGGTCGGAGACAAAGTGACCAGAATACTAAACACCACTTTCAATACAACTCACTTTGTCAATGTGTACTATTCTCTCTTTTTAGCTGGGCTGAGTCATGACGTATAGCACCAGGGAGCTGAAGGAAACACAGAAAAATGCTTCATATGTAGTAGAAACAACCACAGACATTAAAGACAAAACAAAACAAAGTGTCAAATGTTTGATTCTGTGACAATCAGACTCTTGTACCTTGTTGTGTTTTGACAAATGTGAACTCCTTTGCTTATCGAGTCCTGCGTTATACACAGAGGTGGAGGGAACTTCTTTTTGTTTGGCACTTTACATTCACATAGAGAGGACAGATTGCTGACAGGAAGACAGGAATACGAATGATGCCACAGACACCAGATTAATGCTACACTGTGTCGGTGTGTCACAGCTGGGGCATTTGGTGACTCTCACCGGACGACATCGACCGGTTATGATTCAGGTGCATGATTCAGTCACACAGGCACCTAATGTTCCAAATATAAAACACCCAGCTCGTTTGTGTCACACACATCTTCCCTTTCTCTCGCTCCTCGTTTCCCCTCAGTAGAACACAAGCTGTGATTCCCCTGGAGTTCGTCACATTTCTCCCTCTCCTCAGGTATGTCCACTCCACGTGTCCGCTAGTCCCAGATACTCTGGATTCTCTGCCGTTGAGGCCATAAACCCGTTGAGCTGCCTGGGCCCTCCTCCGTCTCTCTCCTGTGACTCAAGGCCGTCCCCTGCAGCAGCGACAGCGTTAGCTTTGGCCACGAGGTCCAGGTAGTACGGGTTGTCGAAGGCTGGAGACGTGGGGCCCCCGGGGACCAAATACCCCGGGTTTTCCACGCTGTGCCCGGAGTTCAGGCCGTTGGGGAGGCGCCGGTCCACTCTGGAGCCTTTACGGGGCAACGTGCTCGGCCGGTCGGGAATCCCCGGTCTGAGATCCTGAATCTGATGGTTGACGTACTCTAAACAGATGCAGGAAACAAGAAAAGTCAAAACACGTTGGGATTTATTTATAAAACACATCATCACACATTACAAATGTTTCTCCCGCTTACCTGGCGGGGCTTGATTATGATTATATCCATGGTTCCGTCGGGGCAGTGAGTAATGATATGGGTGGGGGTGATGGAAGCCGTTGGGCCCGTCAGTCTCCAGGTCGCCCTGGCTCCCGTTGGAGTAGGTGGGGTCTTTGCAGTAGCGCCCGGGGCTTGCCGGGGGCAGCGAGGGGTCGTCTGGGGGTCCGTCCAGGAACACATTGTCAGATTGGCCCCCGGCTGATGGGCTGCGAGCCAGCGTCGGGTACTGAGGGACCCAGACCCCGTTGGAGGCGCTGGCTCCGAGAGGTAAGGTGGGGTACTGGCTGCGGCCCAGAGTGCTCACAGAGGAGTACATGCTGCGGGGGCCGCCGGCAACGGAGGGCTCCACGTCTAAACCCGTATCTCTGCTCTGCTGGGGAGAGGAGAGAGGAAACACACACACAAGGTGAACTCAAGTTTCCTAAGTCTCCATGGATGTGTACATTTAAACATCGTCCCCCGTCACTGACCCTGTACGACTGGTGTCTGGACGGCCCGTTGGTCTGGGCCCCGTCCCCCTGCATCCTGGAGAAGTGGTTGGGCTGAGGCACCAGATACTCCTCAGCATCCAGCAGCTCCCTCATGTTGTTCCCTTCCTCCTCCATGAGCATCCGGAAGAACTGGCTGTCCACAGGGCTGTTCATGCTCATGTGCTCTTCATTCTGCAGGACAGAAAGACATGGATGAAGTCAGAAGGGAGTTGTGTTACCAGTGGGCCTCATGTGATTTAGAAATGTTTCCCCATGTGTGTTTTCGTGCAGCGGATTTTCACAGGATGAGCGAAGGCTGTAACTCCAAACATCCGACATTTATCACCCAGATCTGGATGTCAGGTTCTACATAGCAGTGTCTTATTTAAAAAGTAGTACATATTAAATATACAACAGTAAAAATATGAAATATGCCTTTTTATGTTTATATAATAATGTGAATGGGTTCCCATGTCGTGAAGCAAAGGATCCTACCTTTACCCAACTTTAATAAAAGGCCCAAAGAAAACAAAAAGGTCCTTCAAAAAGAAAAAATATGATTCAAAATCACAGAGATGAGGATTCTCACTGGACTATTATGACCTGTGGATGTGGTCAAATATCGTAGGTAATCTGCGGTGGAATTATTACTTGACAGATAACGGATATGCCAGATTTGTACAGGATTAACATAACAGACATTTATTACAACTATTAGAGGTCCCAAGGTAATACTAGTCTCATGCATATAGTGGCTTAGTCTTTTATTTATCTCTATGGACCAAAATATACTTTATCTCATTCAAGGAAAAAAACATCCGAAGGCATTAGACAAATACCGTGCTACAATGCAACATTCGCATTACACAATAACTTCTTGTCACAAAAGTAAAACATTTGTAGCATTAAGCACACATTCACATACCGGGATGACTACATAGCGAGAAGGATCTCTGGCCATGGCAGAGAAATCATTCACCAGATCTGTGAACCTCGGTCTGCTGTCCGGGTCAATCATCCAACCTGCCGTCCACACAGGAAAACACAGGTGTCAATCAATTATCTTCATCACTAACAAACAATATGCCCACAGATCCTGAGGGGCGACTCACATTGTTATATTTATAGTTTGTGTTAAAGTTATAGTTCTTTGTGTGGCCAAAGTATCAACTATTGAATATGAATCATTATTAATAGATGTTTAACTACTAACATTTGACCATGATCATGTAGACGTCGATGGTGCAGATGAGAGGCTGGGGGAGCCGTTCTCCTCCCTCCAACACCTCCGGGATTTCTCTGGCTGGGATCATGTCGTACGGTTTAGCTCCAAACGTCATCAGCTCCCACACCGTCACGCCTAAAGAGGAAATGTACGATTACTTTGACTACTTAACAACAGATGCAACTAAGCCATACGTACATCTGTGTCAGTTTTAACACCAAATAAGGAACCACTTATTAGGAGGTGATTGATCAGCAAACATCAGGTGACATTCATTTATAAAATATGAACTAGCAGCAGTCTGGAAACTCTATAATTGCGTATGCTACTATTTGTTTTTTTATAACTATTATTATAAATATACTACTGCCTTTCTTAAGTTTTGCAATCAGTACTACACACGCTATCACTCCAAAAATGAGGCTGCTGTTAAACATAAAAAAACGAAAACATTTCACTTTAGAGCTTATGCTACATGAGAACTAAGTTAAACAGCCAGCTCTAACCTCAGTGTTAGTGTGTTATTTTGAATTCAAGCACCGCGTGATACTGACCATAGCTCCAGACGTCGCTCTGGTGAGTGAACTTCCTGTGCAGAATAGACTCCAGGGCCATCCATTTAATCGGCACCTACAGAAACAAATTAAGAACAGAAGTTAAAAATAATAAATGATTGATAACGGCCCGGTGCAGAGGGTCCTACATTCTCAGCCCCGTCTTACCTTTCCTCCGTCAGCGTGATATTCAGTCTCATCGATGTCCAGCAGACGAGCGAGACCGAAATCGGTGATCTTCACGTGGTTCGGGTTTTTGACCAGAACATTTCGGGCGGCCAAATCTCTGTGGACCAGCCGGACTTCCTCCAGATAACTCATCCCCTACAAACACACACACACATATCCATGTTTCCACAAATATACAAACTGATACCACATCAAAAATTGAAAGAAAAAATAAGGCCATGAAGGAATAAATGAGACAGTCACAGTGCTGTTTACCTAAGGAAGAAAAAAACACATTACACACATGTAATTCTACAAGCCATAGTATGTGTGTGCACTTCCTGTTACATACCTTGGCGATCTGAACACACCAGTTGAGGAGGAACTGGGATCCGATGCGGTCCTTGTTCTCCCTGACGTAGTCGAGCAGGCAGCCGTACGGCATCAGCTGAGTGACCAGCTGCACCGTGGAGGTCAGACAGATCCCAAGCAGGCGACACACGTAGGGGCTCGCCACTCCTGCCATCACATAGGCCTCCTGAAGGAGACAGAGGACAGATGTTGAGGGGCTGAGAACTGTGTTTATGTTTGGTGTAACTGTGTGTATCTGGTTTGCACTCACGTCAAGGATCTCCTTATTGGCCTTAGGCGAGGTGTTCTCTCGTAACACCTTGATGGCCACTGGTATTTTCACATTTTCCCCTTCAGGTGCCCACACACCCTAAAAAAACAAAAATAATTAGAAAAACTCAGCGAAGATGTAACACATTAACGTTTTCTCAAGTCAAATGCTATCATTCTGCATCTATGATGGCTCACATACCTTGTAAACGGTACCGAAGGCCCCTGCTCCGAGCACCCTGAGCTTTTTCAACTCCGTCTCTTTCAGAATACGCATCTGAGCCTGATTTGGCGACGCGCCGCTGGGTGTTAAAGGCTCCACCAGCTGAACACATGAAGGAAGCAGATGGCAGATTTCCTCATTACACACTACATCACCCAAAGGGAATCTAAGAGTCTCTTTTATGTTAACCATTGAACTTTCCGCTAATAAACTCCCACATGTTACAACAACACAAAACAAGTATTAACACCTCTGCAAAACCTCTGTGTTTGCAACTTTTATGCACCCATATTGATGCAGCAGACCGATACTGACTATCAGGTATCGGTAACAATTGGGCTGATCTATGTAATTCCATTCAGTGTTTATCTTATACATAATATACTGTAATTTGTTCTTTTATAAGTTTAGCCAATTTGCTGCTGCATTAGGAAAGGAATACAATCCAGGTATTAGAATCCCAGTGAATTGTGTAGATATTTTACCAAGTTGCTGAAGTCCAATAAATGTATATTGATGTATTTACTTGTTGATTTTCATTATTTTAAAAGATAGGAAAGCAATGTTGAAGTCAAGGTTGATGTTTTCCGAAACAAAACGTATGAATTGAAATCTGTTATCTGATCTGTACTCAATATCAGCCATTACCCAGACCCCATCGGTTTCAGGACTTAAGGTTTTGATTGTTGCATCAATAATTGTAATTTAAAATGTTTCTCGGTGCCCACCTCGTGTTCTTGCAGGATCCTTCTCATTGTCTCTTTCCTCCTGAGCGTATTTTGTCTCTTCAGGTAGAAGACCAGCAGGGCCAGCAGGATGAAGAAGAGCACCACTCCACCCACTGCAGCCGCGATGGTTGTCCCCGGTCTGTGCAGAGAAAACCAGTGAGACACAGCTCCACAGAGAAAATCTACCATTTAAACATCTGACCAGTTGAAGCAGCTCACCCTGGCCTTTTATCCACGGGACAGCCTCTCTCATCCATCACCGTGCAGCTGAAACACAGAAGTACTGGGTGTGAGATCATTCCCATTGTGTGTGCAGTGTGTGTGTGTGTTTGTGAAGTGTGTGTACTCACGACAGCGTGCAGTTGGTGTTGCAGGACAGACAGTGTCCTGAAGCATTGCTGTACTTCCACACAGTTTGCTGATCCTCCTTCTCACCGCTGGGACAATGATCCACACAGAACTCACCGTCCTGGAAGTTTCTGCACTCTGAACAATGCTCTGCACCCTGAAGACGCAAAGAAGACACATTTCATCATGTCTCTACTTTTGCACACATCTAGAAAGGGGTTAATAGAGTTAATTTATTTAGATTATTTCAGGAAGTGTGGTGAAACAAATCTGCCAAGCAGGAATTGAACCCAGAAATAGTGGTTATATAATTTCTGACCGACTTTTAATTTTCATTGTATTGTAAAAGTTTTTACTTTGTGATGTATTAAGAAATGCCTGGAAATCATACTTCTATGTATATATTCAATCAATCTCCACAGATAGCAGAACAAATTCAAAAGAGTATTTTAAAGAGCTGCAACTAATGCTTATTTTAGATTATGTAAGGCAAGGCAAGTTTATTTATATAGCACCTTTCAACACAAGGCAATTCAAAGTGCTTTACAAAAATGAAAGACATTAGGAAAATGGCAAAAAGAAAAGTCTTCAGCCTGGATTGAAAAGTAGTCAGAGTTGCAGTGGACCGGCAGATTTCTGGTAGTTTGTTCCAGATATTTGGAGCATAATAACTGAATGCTGACAGACAGCTGACCAGTCCCTGAAGACCTGAGAGATCTGGATGGTTCATAATTCAGCAGGAGGTCAGACATGTATTTTGGGTCTAAACCATTCAAAGCTTTATAAACCAGCAGCAGTATTTTGAAATCAATTATTTGACACACAGGAAGCCAGTGTAAAGACTTCAGAACAGGAGTGATGTGATCCACTTTCTTAGTGTTAGTGAGGACTCGAGCAGCGGCGTTCTGAATCAGCTGCAGCTTTCTAATAGATATTTTAGTGAGACCTGTGAAGACACCATTGCAGTAGTCGAGTCTACTGAAGATAAAAGCATGGACAAGTTTTTCCAAATCCTGCTGTGACATTAGTCTTTTAATCCTGGATACATTCTTTAGGTGATAGTAGGCTGATTTAGTAACTGTTTTAATGTGACTGTTGAAACTCAGGTCAGAGTCCATGACTACACCTAGATTTCTGGCTTTATCTGTTGTTTTGAACATTGCAGACTGAAGCTCAGCGCTAACTTTTATACGTTCTGCCTTGGCTCCAAAAACCATTACCTCAGTTTTATCTTTGTTTAATTGGAGAAAGTTCTGACACATCCAGTCATTGATTTGTTCAATGCACTTACTCAGTGTTTGAATTGGAGCATAGTCTCCTGGTGAAATGGTTACTTACATTTGTGTGTCATCCGCATAGCTATGGTAACTTATTTTGTTGTTTTTCATTATCTGAGCCAGTGGTAGCATGTAGATGTTAAAGAGAAGAGGCCCCAAGCTGGAGCCTTGAGGTACCCCGATTATACCCCGATTATGTAGGTAAAACATATTTTGTTTTACAAAATTAAAGTAGTAAAATCAAAAAGCTTAAAACAATAAATATGCATATTTGAAGTTCCCAGAGCGTAACGGATTTTTTTTTTCTAATGCTTGTCTTGTCCAATTAAATGTTACAATTAAAAAAGGTAAAACTACAGATGAATTGTTCAGTCATTTCAGAACGATTTTTGATGACACACAAAAGACCAATAGTAACAGGAATGTCCAGCTGTGTGGTGTTGTTGTTGTTGTGTTGTTGTTGTTGCGTGAAGGTTTTTAAATGTTCCTAAGACATATTGTTCTTGCAAGGATTAAAAACGTCTGGATAAAAAGTAAAGAGCAGCTGAACAGTGTGAAGGTCTTTTCCAGAATCAATAACTATTATAAGCACAAAAAGTTTGATTTACTTTATCGTCAGTCATTATTATGGTTGAGTATATGGTGCTTTTTGCAGATTTTATTTTTAATAAATAACGACTATAGGCTGCATGAACATCTTACCGAGCCACGGCAGGAGGTGGAGCCATTGAGAGGTTGACACTCTGAGTGACAAGCGACACACAGAGACTCAGCGATGTACTCGCGGATGGACCTGCAACACAAGCACACAGGGATTTAACGTAACGTTCCAATAACACGGCCTGGCATCTGTTAGGATCTTTTATCTAAAGCACCTGACACCATCATAAGGACAGACATTTTTAGAAATGGGGGCCCAGCGGACCAGATGACCTACACATGATAACGTGTCCTCTGCACCACAGAGGGCTGGACAGCAATGTTTATTATTGTAAACAACTTTGAGTGGAATAGTATTGTGATCATATGATATATATTTTGTTAAAGGAATGTTTGACACTTAATCGCTTTTTTGCTGGGAGTTAATTGAGCCATTCTCTCCTCATCAGTGCAGTAAATATGAAGCTACGGCCAACACTAGTTAGAAATAGTTTGGCACATAAACCCTTTAAAGCCTCATCATTACACTTAGTTTTTTGGACAAATGTAACAAACGGTTGGTTTCAACATTTGCCACATCATGATAAAAATAAATATAAATAATATGATATTGATGTTAACAATATTGATCAGCCCAAATATTAGACCAAAATTACATGGGCAACAGACACATTTAGTTTGAAGTGAAAACAAGACTCCTGTTTCATCACATCGGTACAATTACACAAACCTTGTTAAAGTGATTTTAAAAAACATTATTATTTGGGCATTTTAACAAGACTTTATCTGTAGGATTATTTAGGCTTTTTGACTAGTTAAGCATGCACGCATCATCATCAACTGCAGGGCAACTGATTACAAAATAACCTTAAAAGGTATTATCTAAATGTGCAATACATTTACTTATGTACATCATACCAAAAAATCTGCTCTGTTATTGTTCAAAGAAACTGAGTCTCCCGGTGTTATCAAACATATTTGCTTTGTCATTGATCTATTGTTGCTTAAGGGCACAATTGAAGTTAAAAGCTTTCCAATTGATTTGAATGAGACTACTTTGTTATTTGGCACTGGCTGCCATTCCACTTAACCCCACATAAATCCACCTGTTCACATCTTCACTTTCAGTGAAAACATTATTAGTCGCTTTTCTTTCCTGGACAACTTGTTTGTGCATTATGACACACAGTCCTCTGTATTAATAGGAACATTATCACTTGGCTTTTATTTATTTTGTGCAGCCACACCCACGCACACACAAAGTCTCTTACCCCTGGTAGGTGTCACACTGATCCACGCACTCAGTGCCGCGTTTGAAAGCCGTGCAGGACACACACTGATTCGGCCCCGGGCCCCAGCAGCCCCCCTTGCACAGCTGGTGACACACACGCTCCTCTTCCTCTAAAGACACACAAAGAGCAAAAAGAGCATGATGCACACCGTACTTTCTGATGGCCCCTCCCCTCAGTTCACTGCAACGACATACGTGCTTAAAATGCAATTGATAAAATCGTGTTTGTTTTGCAGCTGCTTGCAATTGTTACAATAAATGTAATTGAATCTTGTATCTGATGAAAGATAATAAACTTGGTTTAAGTGACGTACACGATAAAGTAAGTGGTCAAAGTGCAACCAACAGTGACCTAAATTAGGGTTATAAATAAGTTATATGAGTTATAATATGAGTCTGCCACAATACAATGTCATATTGATTCAATTCAGGAGACACTTGCCCATTTAACACAATAATTACATTTATATTAACTAAAAAAAACAACAAAATATTATTTGAGAATTTGTTTACTCTACTCTGTACAGGTGTGCTTGCACAGAAAAAGTGACACTAAATTGGATGGAGTCAACATTTTTAATGGACTTTAGCACTGCATCAGTGTGTTCCCCCACCACAGAGCTGGGCGTCCTGGTTCAGGCTGACGATGCGGTGCGGCCCCTGGGTGGGGTGCAGCAGCGTGCTCCAGGGCAGGGAACTGGTGTAGCACAGCTGGGAGTTGTTGTGCAACAGAACCAAACCTCCGCTGACGCTGCGTAGTGAACGCAACCCAACAGAGCGGATGTGCAGATTCTGGATGGCGAGTGAAAACACCCCCCTGAACAGAGAGAAGTTGTGAGTGACATTAGAAACAACTGTGGAGTCAACGTTCTTAAGTCTGTCCCTTTATACTGAAAGTCACTAACTATTCTGTATCACATTATTATTTAATAACTTACTATTGACTATGACTAAAAAACCTAGTCTCAACATACCTCATTTAGATTTTCCGTCTATAATTTGGTTAAAGTGTAGAGTACCAGAGTCTGGTTGTGTGCAAGATTAAGATAAACTCTAACCTGACATTCTTGTATTCCTGAGAAAGTGGGAGAATACACAAATGAAGGAAAAACCGCAAAGTTAGACAATTAAGTTACAAAAAAGTAACAGCAATACTGTTTTGAATTAACGGAGGCGTGTGGCGCAGTGGAATAGTGCGCTGCTGTTGGGATCAGGGGGTCACAGGTTCAAACCCCACTGCAGTCAGCATGTCGTTGTGTCCCTGGGCAAGACACTTCACCCCAAATTGCTCCTGTGGGGATTGCCCACAGTACTGAGTATGTATGTCGCTTTGGATAAAAGCGTCTAACAAGTAACATGTAATGTAATTACCCAGACAGCGTATCATATTGTTAAACTTTCTTTTAAACCCGTGTCAAACAAGTAGATCTCACATGTGTCACTATGACCTCAATTAAGCCCGCTACACTAGATAGTGTTCCTTAGACTTTACAGTAATCCTGGCAGGTGTGTGCTGCAGCTGTGCAGGTTAATAATTAGCCTTTATTACACTGAAAGGGAACAAACTGCCTGAACTGAGACAAAATCAGAGCATAAACACAGCATGAGGTGATGCAACACAGAAAGAAATGGATACTCTACATTAACTTATATGCATTTTTACTCTTGTTTGAACCCTTTGAACCCTATTAGTTTACTTTTTTTGCATTTAATAATTATTTCTATCATCTCTATATTTGTCTCATTGGCGCTTAATGCCAGAGTTATTCAATTATTATTTATTAATTTGCCCTTTTTTCATCAAGCTTAATTGTAAGGCTCAATTATAAGAGAAGACAACTATGTATAACAATTGGTCTAATGTTTGTTTCCAGTTTGTTTGTTGATAACATATTTAAAAGAAGACCTATAATAAAATACAATTTGAGGAAGTGTAAAAGTCTTACTTGTAGAGCATCCTGCCTCTGATCACCTTCAGGTTCTCGAACACATGGAGGTCAGTCCACTCTTCTGGCCAGGCATCAACGTACAAATAACCTGCCAAGCACAAACCGACAATATATAAAACACACTCAAACAGAGGAGACACAGTATGCTCTGAATACATATCAGACTTGCATGTGGTGTTATTTGGAAAATCTGAATGCATTTGCAGGAAAAACCCATTTACAACAGTTATGAATGAAACCGTTTTTTATATTGCATAACCTGATGTTCCTTTTCTTGGTATAACCTTAAAAAAGGATGCAACAAACATCTCCTCACTGTTCAGTACCTGTAATCTCCTCCAGAGACTTGAAGGCGCTGAGCTGTTCGAGGGACAGACCTGATGTGTTGCTCGCAGAGTCCCTGAACAATGACAGCATGAAGGTTAAATAACAATTTAACAGCACAACAAAAAGGAATATAACATTTGATTGTTTCAAGGAAACCGTCTTGTGAAATATTACATCACTGATCTGCAATCTCAGGCATGTGTTTACAACTGTCACCTTTACTGTGAACTGTTGGCAGACACATGATAATAATTAAGATTATGCACCTCAGCTTCACGTTATACATTATCATTGTATAGACTGTCTGATACAGAAAGTCTCTATTGACTTTGAATAAGACTTCATGATGTTAAAAGACCTCTTTGTTGGCATAAAGTACTGTAGAAATAAAACACATTCATATCTGGGTTTGAAGTACATTTGAGTAGGGTTTGGCTAGGGTGGCGACTTTCCTCTTGACTTGCACAAAGAACCTTCCACAAACTCAAATACTCAAAGGGCTGAACAGAAGCGATAAGGCTTTGCAACAGTATAAAGTCTGCTATTTGATGTTACTGAAGCTTATTACTATATTTTGTCTAATTTTGCATCTTTGTGAGCTAAATCCATGGGCATGTATTTTATTCTGTGTCTCTTACCTTGCAAAGCTCTGAGGGAGGAAAGCCAGACTGCCAAATATCTTCTTGCACTTGTTGAACTGCTCCACATTAGAAGATGTTACCATGGTGACGCCGTGGTTGTCCATGACACCGAGGTTGTCCATACCCAGACCATAACACACTGAAATACAAACCATGACAACGGGTATCAAACAGTTTATCTAATATCCAGGAATTAAACAAAAGAGGTCCGATATAACAGGGAAATAATGATCAACAAACCTCCATGCTTTATCTGAATAAGAGCTTCATAAGTGATTGATTGCACTTAAAAAATAGTGGTGTTAAACATGTCTACCAACGAAAAGTCCCAACTTAGGTCAAAACGTATGCAACAGAACTTCTTTAATGATTAATTGAGAGCAAAAAGCAGGATTATTAAAAGGGTCTTATTATCTTTTTTGTGGTTTTCTCTTTACTGTAGTGTGTTATATAGGTTTGTATGCATGTAAATGGTCTGCAAAGGCTAAATTACCTCCAGAGGGAGTTTCTCTCCCACACACTCCTTTGTTCACTTCCATAACATAGTGACATTACTTCGTAACACTCACATTTTGATTGGCTATTAGTGATGGGAATTATGGCTCTTTGAAGGGAGCCGGATCTTATGGCTCCGTTCCTTTGCGAGTGCCGTTCAAAAGAGCCGTTTGTTTGTTTAAGGAGGCGGGGTTAATAGGTTTATCTGCAAAATATACCTTTTATAATTCAATCAAATGTAGCCCTTTTTTGACTAATGATTTATATGTGTACACATATATCACTTAAATGATTCAATACATCCTTTGTACTGAAGTATTCAAAAGTAAAAATTACATTTTTAATATAAATGATTTGCTGTGGCCAATTGTTTTCATTGCATTTACAGACCCTTGTAACTCTCTGATTGTAGAAGCACGCTAAAAAAAAAGCAGATAGCAACACCTATACAAACTGACAACAAATCTTTGCTGAGCCTAAAAATAATCATAAATAAATAACATAGTGAAAATAAATATATTGCAATGCTCAAAACAGCAGCATCCAACAGTCTCTAATCCTTGGATATTACATGTCACTGCCTGCATGCACGGAGCACCCGTAGCGCGGAGATTATCATATCATTCTGTCTTGTATTACTTGAAAAATGTTTTTGTTTGGGCGCGACACAATCACAACAGAGCTTTATAATAAAGTTCAAAATGTTCCGAACCACGAGACAAATCGCGGTAACAACAACAAGTTGCTGCAGAAACAGGTCGGTTCACTTTTAACTACAGTCTGCATGTGATGCAGCAGAACATCCCTGCAAATCACAATAACCTGCACTGAAGCACCATGACATGCACAAGGAGAATGCAAGTTACTCAACAACATTACACATGAACGTTATGTAACATCTGAGCCACAAAGTGAGAGGTAGTTTTTCCTGTGTTGGAAACATGGAAAGCTACTTGTTACACACAGTGGTCGCTTTATCAGGTAAACCTTTAGCATCACAGTTTCTGCAGATCTTTGCGCAGCACATTAATGCTGCAAATGTCGTGCTTTACCAAATCAATGGAGGTGTTAAAGGATTCAGATATACTTATGTGGAGGCCATTTGACTATACTCATTCTCTTACTGTATTTGTGAATTAAATGTAGCTTATTTGTGACATGCTGCGTTTTCCTGCTGGATGTAACTGTTCAGCTGAATCTTATTACATGGCCATTGTGTGTTTGTAAACAATGTGTTGGGTGTTAATGCAAATCTACCTACAAGCACTAAATGACTCTCACCTTTGGGACAGTCTCCTTCACACTTTTCACATTTCTGCAGCTCGTTTCCCTCAGGGTTGGCGACGATAACTTCCTGGTTGGCTTTGGGACAAACCAAAGTACAAGCTACTTCCATAGCCAGGTAGTTATCTGCAGACAATAAGACAAAGTGATCAAAGGGCGTCTTTGCAGCAAAAATAAAATGATTGTGAAGTGAGAAAAGGGTAGCCTTTAGCGTTAAAGTTTCAGGAATAGAATTGTAAGAATGCCAGGTTTGTATTTCTGTATTTGTGGAAATCTTGGCAAGGAACCTGAATATATAATATTTTCCCCTCAAAACATGATCATCAGGTAAACAAGTCAAACTGCACAGTGGCTAAAGCTGAGCACTGAGTGGAAGCTTTTCTGGATAAACGCAGTTAATTCAAAATCGTTTCTCACAGGGGCACGTCTTGACACATGTTGCTCCAAAGTTAAACTTCTTGTTTGGGTTGGGTTTGGTCTGGAAGGTGACAGGGTCGTAGATGGTGGGCGGAGGACAGTTCTCCTTACACACACTGCTGTCGTTGAAGTGACGGCAAGCCTGGAGCGAAGAGGAACGAGGAAATGATGATGACAGAAATGGCAACCACAACAATTATCTGATAAATACATGTGTTGTGAGTGACGGAGAGTGTGTGTGTTTACTCACCAGACAGTCTGAGTCTTTGGGCCCTGTGCACCCGGCCGCACACTGTGTGTGACAGCAGTCATGGGGGTTGGGACCTTTACAGCGCTGACAGCCAGATGCACAGTTTATCCGTGTCACTTTAAACGGAGACGACAAAATCAATTTTCTGCACCTGCTCAGGACTTTTTCCAGTAACAATTATTTAATGTCACTGCCATGCTCTGCACATGATTTTATTACTCACAGGTCTGGCAGTCCTGTGCAGTTTCTCCCCAGCAGCCTTTCGCACAAACAGAGGCACAACTGGGACCTGAGCCATAAGGAGCACAACAACAACAACAAATCAGAGCGAGCACAATTTAACAAAATAATAACACAATAAGTGTCTACTGCTCGGCCTGCAGCTAGTCGCCAGTATACTGAATCAGAACTGCTACGCGGATGTTCAAATAGAAAAGAGTAAAATAGAATAGCTAACATTTTATTTTATTTTTAAAGAATCAAAAAAGGGGGTAAAGCTGTGTGGTTTTGGCTCATCAACATTGTAGCAATAAAAGCAATACAACTAACAATAAAAACTAAAGAAATGCAAAATAATACAATCAACAATACAATATTAATATAAATAAGTTGCATATAGTGCATACAAATAAATGCGTAAGGCGTGTTGTGTATGCAGATATTCACATGCTGTTGTTTGCCTGGGTGTGTTTTGTCAAGCACAGCTAGGTCTGTGTGTGTGTGTGTGTGTGTGTGTGTGTGTGTGTGTGTGTGTGTGTGTGTGTGTGTGTGTGTGTGTGTGTGTGTGTGTGTGTGTGTGTGTGTGTGTGTGTGTGTGTGTGTGTGTGTGTGTGTGGCCTAGCATTACTATACTTGTGGGGACCTAAATCTTACACAGTCACGTGTGGGGACTCGCCTCCCTTATGGGGACATAATGAGGGGAATCATTCATTTTAGGGTGAAGACTTGGTTAGGGTTAGGGTTAGGTTAAGGGTAAGGGTTATGGTTAGGCATGTGTTGGTTATGGTTAAGGTTAGGATAAGTCTCCAGGAAATGCATGAAAGTCAATGTAATGAAGTGATGTATACATGGTAGGTGTGTGTGTGTGTGTGTGTGTGTGTGTGTGTGTGTGTGTGTGTGTGTGTGTGTGTGTGTGTGTGTGTGTGTGTGTGTGTGTGTGTGTGTGTGTGTGTGTGTGTGTGTGTGATTAACAGAGAGACTGGTTTGTGCATACTTCTTACAGACAATGACAACACTAACACTGATGTTTAACATATTTCAATCAGTCGGTCAGCTGCTCACAATTGGGGGCCCGTCCCTGCAGTCGGTGCGCACTGTCGTATGTGTTGTGCTGATCTAACGTGTCCCTCCAAACAATGGTCTGGGGGTCAGGGTAGCACAGCTGGGGGTTCCCCCAAATATACACAGCTCCCAACAGGATCTCTGCAGGACAGACAATACACTCATTAACACACTGTTAGAGTAGAAGACAGATGCTTCATGAAAAGAAGGCACAAAACTCCTCTGCGCTACAAATCCAACAATGAACAGGAGCCCAAAACATGTCTTATTCCCATTAAAGCTGAAGATATTGATAAAATTAACAAGTCCAGGCAACTTGAATACACACTCTGATCTCTACTTTCTTATGATCTGACCTGTGAGGCTACGTAGCCGCAGCGTCCTGAGCCCCAATCCGCCCACAGTGTTATCGAGCACAGCCAGAGCGTAGCTGGAGTTGTACAGCTGGCTGCCTCGGATGATGCGAAGGTTGTCCAAAGGCAACACACTCACTGACAAATGGGCTACAAGTACATAACCCTGAACCTCCACGATCCCCTGCAGAGAGAAGAAGAAACATAAGGATGAGTGTCATGTGGCAACAAAACATTTGGAAAAATCATAGCTAACTCAGCAATGCAGTTTAATACTTGCCTTAAGTCTACTTGCACAATTAAAAATAAACAAAAATAATATAACGTGCAAGAAGATGCAGAAGAATTGGGCTTATTTCAGCCCAACATAAATATTGTAAACCATTCACAATGTGATAGATAACAGACTATACAGAAAGTAATTTGACAAAAAAATTACAAACTATTGGATCAAGACATAATAATCAACAAACTATGTCTTATTTTTTTATAACTAATGGGTCTATTTGTGTCATTTAATGCCGTCATTATTACAGACAGAAACCCCCACACTCTTAAGGAGAGGTCTACATGCGAATATGCCTATTTTGGACTCAAATACAGCCAAAAACCCACTCTCTGTATTTACCTCTAGGAAGGAGAGGTCCGGGCTTCCATGAAGGTGAGTGATCTCCAGGTTGCCGTGGACGACCTTGCAGTCGGTGTAGAGCAGCTTCAGGGTCTCGTAGTGATTTTCCAGGCTGGAGGGCAGGTCCAGCTTCATGTCTGTACCCAGGCATACTGCAACATAGACAACACATTTAACACAAAATAATGAATAAAATAAACATCCTGCACCTAAAACACTGTGAACACCTATATTCATGCTGTTGTTATTAAAAATGATTTGGACAGCATATTCAATATAAAATAATGTTTAAACACACCAAAGGAACAAACGTTCATCAACTGTAAATGTTTCTATACACTGGGGTTGGGTGATTAAATGACTATATTAGCTTAAGTCAATTTGCTGGGTACGTACTGTAGATGGTTGTTTTTCGTAGGGGAGATTTCTGTCATTTTATTTTTCGTAAAAATTAAAAAGTTAATCTTGGTTATCTTTCAAAATGTTTTAATTTTGACAGAGATCCCACTGTCAATGAAAAATGACCAAAAATCTCAGTAACTCAAAAGTGAAAGTGAAAGTTTTTCTTTAATATATAATTATATTTTAGACTAAAATATTCATTAATTCAAATCAAAATAAAACAAATAGTTTTTTTGCAGCTATAAAATTGATTTTGGCTGCTCTCACTTTGCTGTGATACATAAGATATAAAGTGACCCTGCTGACTTTAAACTTCAAAAGTAACCTTGGATAGTAGCAATTTATAGACAAAATCTTGAAATGCACATGGACCTTGTGTTATATGTTGAATCTCTGAATAATGACTGTTAGAACTCCACATATTTTGACTATGTATCTATAAGTGGCCTTGAATGGGTTCTCTGAAACACAAACCACATGCACGCCTCAGTCCTGTCTCTTAGTGTGTGTGATATAGTTTCCACTTTCAGCACAGAGCACAGATTCCCCGCAGTGGGTCACACAGATAGACTGTATAATTCAGGGTCATACAATTCACACACACACACACACACACACACACACACACACACACACACACACACACACACACACACACACACACACACACACACACACACACACACACACACACACACACACACACACACACACACACACACACACACACACACACACACACACACACACACACACACACACACACACACACACACACACCATGCTTTTAGCAGGCATTCACACAGTGGACAGACCCTCTTCTGCTGAGGTTATAAATGACTTCCTCTGGCTCCCCTCCAACAGTCTTTCAATAGTCAACCCACTTTCCCAATTCAAGCCCCCTCCCCCCCTGTGCTATCTCCGTCCCCCCTGGATGGATGGACATCACCGGAGGAGCGGGAAGTTCAGGCACGTGTGAGGAGTTTGATTTTAATGATACACTGGGGTTCAACAGAGTTCAGAAGATATGTGTTCAAGACATGCTGGTATCACGTCTGCCACTTATGTAAGAAGTAAAAGGTGACAAAGTGTCAATAGGGTCCACATTAAAATCTGACAACTACTGCGGCAAAAGGGTCTAAGATTAATTGAGCAACCGGCGGCCTAAAATACATACCCAGCGGTTGCAGCTTGTGTCAAATATCAAATCAAATGACTAATCACTGTCTCCTTCAGTGGTGTCATCATGGAAAATAGTTTTACAAGTCTCGCCAAGAGGGGAGACGGGCTTTAATTCTCCAGCGTTTAAATCATTTTTAACAAGACAGAATATCCAAACAGAAACAAAATCTGACTCCCTGAAACTCTGACACACACACACACACACACACACACACACACACACACACACACACACACACACACACACACACACACACACACACACACACACACACACACACACACACACACATACACACACACACACACACACACACACACACACACACACACACACACACACACACACACACACAGTCAGCACTGGGGATTAGGTAAATGTACCGTAACAGAAAGTACAACGGGGCAGATTATCCATTTCTAAAAAGTGTGTAAAGCCAGTTCTCAGCTTCCTCTCCGTTTATTCTCCTCATTGTTTGCTCTCCAAAAGTCTCTCAGCAACGGCTATGTGTGTGTGTGTGTGTGTGTGTGTGTGTGTGTGTGTGTGTGTATTAGTGGCCTTGTGAGGAGCTGCCCACCCCTTCATCCCTGTGGCCTAAAATTATCCCTCTTTTATCACTTACTGTGCTGCTCACTGTCATGACACTATCACTGCCTTACTCCTTCAAAATCACTCGCAACTTATTTGTATCACCTTCTTTAAAAGCCATTCATCTTAAAACTTCCCCCCTCTCTTCCCCCATTCATTTCTTTCTCTCGGTTTCACAGTGTACGTGTCGTTGCCCAACTCTCTTTGGACTCTGGAAAGTGTCATTTCACAGGAATGTGTCTTAGCATATCTAAAAGATGACACACATAGTTGTATTCCCCCAGTGAGTTGGGGGGAGCATGTTGTAGTTCAGTTCGGATCTCTGTGTCCGGCTCACCCACACACACACACACAACTAGTGACTGCCACTGACATTCAAAGTTAAATGAGTTAGAGCTGGCTTCTGCTTAGCGTACCGCGGACACCTGGCTCTGGAAACGTCCTCTGGTCAGGTGTTTCTGTGGTTAACAAGACAAAGAACGAGAGAACATTTCTACTTTGATGCCTTTTTTCTTTTACATTTTAATCATTTAATTGATTACAGTTGTGCATTTCTGTGTTCAGTAAAGCTTCTGATTATCAAGCTTCTAACAATTTACATTTTTTTAAAAATCATTTCCAATTAGTCTTCAATTACAACAATACAGCATTCATGCAGAAGCAGGTTTTATACATTACAAGAACTTCAAACAAAGACAATTATTTGTATTATATGCTGTCCAGCATTGTTGAACAGAAAATGTGTTTTTTAGTTTTTCCAAACTACACTTGAGGACGGGACGACACAGAGGTTTGTCATCATAAAGAGCTCGGGAGACGCTTTATGTTTATATATTGGGGTAACTAATATTGTGGTTATTTTGGTGCATAAACAGAGTGCAATGCCTTCAAGGAGAGATTCACAGTTTAGAAGTTTTTTTCTACATTGTTGCAGACATTGCTTATTTTGGTATCTTCTAAGAAGTAACTGTGACTTGACCTAGCTTTCTTCAAGAGATGAGACAGCGACTTTAATCTGTGTCCTGCAACACTGTGCTGCTTGGGACTGTCTGCAGACTGAAAGCCAGCTTGAAGCCACACCTGTTAGTGGCGTAGTGCCAGTTAGCACAGGGAGTGTGCGTGTGTGTGTACGCTGGTAACAGAAACACGGTAGCAGCGATGCTTCTGCAGGAGTGAGACTGCACCATGGAGGAGCAGCAGTGTGACACAACAGAAGAGTCAACAGGCTCTGGCCTCCTCTCTGATGGATCAGATCCCTCCAAATCTCAACACAAACAGAACAGGCTGATCCACCAGGACTTTCTCTGTCACTTTGTTATCCTGCAGATTTAACATGTCAGTCCTGGTTCTAACACAATGCTATTCCTAGCGCTTCTTGCATAAACTTCACATTTCTCCCAACCTCCCTGAACACATTCTTTTCTTCACTCTACGGCCGAGGAAGAGAAAACAGGTATTGCTCAACAGACAAGCAGAACAGGATCCGCACTGTATCGGAGCCCCATTGAACTGCTCTCTCAATCAGCCTGTCACGCGTAGACTCAACCACAAACACGATTGCATCACAATGTGTCCTGCACTGTTTTACACCTTTACTACAGCTTTAAAGCATCTGCATTTAAATTCAGTGCATTTCAAAGGGAAGAAAACATCTTCTGATCCTAATCACTAGGGATGTAACGATACCAAAAACTCACGGTACGATAATATCGCAATAACAAGTCCACGGTACGGTATTTACTTGAAAAACAATTCTTTATTAAATAATAAATCTGATTTTACAGCATTTTTGTAGGATAGTAGTATTTTAAAGTGTCAAAAACAAAGTGACAGTAACAGACTGGAACAAGAACAACCAGTGTTTTTTACCTACTAGTACTACCAAACAAATGCCACTGCATCTCACAAATAAACAAGGACATTTAATAATCAGACCCTGCTATAAAATAAATCAAGTTTCACTTTAGTTTTTCTAAGTAAAAACTCACTAACTCACTCACTCAGCTTCATCAGACAGGTTTTTTATTAGGAATATGAGCATATCCACATTTCCAGGTAGACGCTGGGATGTTTGGGCATTTACAATACCCCTGCTGTGGAAAAAACTCTCTCGCGTTAACCGAATATTTCTTTTAACAATGACGGAAAGATCTGAAAGCAGTCTGTCATTTTGACAGATTAGAACAAACTCGGAACAGCGCCAAAGTTTCCCGCAGCGAGGCTCTGGTTTTTGCCGTGTTATGCATGCCCTCCAAAAGGAAATGATATAGTTTCCAAACCGTACTTTGCCGTACAGATCATTGAAATGTCTGGGAGTTTTTGCTTTACGCTGTGCGCAGTCCCGCGAGGTGCATGCATTTCTCGGTGGGCATGCATAACACGGCATAACACCGTTATAACAACTTTATTCTGTCATTTTCAAATGTATTCTGTCATTTTCAAATTGCAGTCTTAAACATTTTCTAAGCAAAGATTTGACTGTATGATTTTTTTGGAGGGTAATTTTAGAAAACCATATTTTATGTCATGAGAAATGTTTAGTTTTTTAGACACCAAAAACAAGGCCCTATTTTTAATGGCTTTGTACCAAAAGACCCCTTCAATGGACCATTTGAACACAAGATTAGTTGTATTAAGTATTGGAGTATTATTATAAATAATATATATTAATCATCATTATTATCAGAAAATGCTTTCAGCCTCTTAAACATGGACATTTCCTGCTTTTATATTATGTATTATCTTTATGGATTTGGACTGACAACGGAAGACATTTAAAGACAACCCTATGGATTTTAAGAAACTTGAATGGATAGTTTTAACAATTATTTTGACTTTATCATATGATAAAGATTGAGAAAATAGCCCTGTTTATAACTCAAAAACCCTTGAAAAACATAGAAAAAGGTGTTGAAAGTCTCTGCTCTGGTCTACTGCCCAGCGGAGTGAGTTAGATCACTGACACAGAGACTGAGGGTCACGGCCGGCTGGTCTGACCTGCTACTGAGGGCCAGAAGGACTTAATCACTTCACTGAGTTTCACTCTGTTGGGGCACTGGAGTGTGACGAGGACATGAACTCTGTGGATGGATACTGGGGCCAGCGAACACACACAAAACACACAGACACACACACAATGTTCTCCCTCGGGAACAGGCTGTGGCAATAAAATAATTAATTCAAACGACTGGAAGAAAAAACACCACACACGAGTCCTGACCTTTGAAATGGTATACTAGTTGGACATGGGGTGTGTGTGTGTGCTCGGTGTGTGTGTGTGTAAAAACAATACTTGATGACTGAAAGTAAGACTAGTGTATGATGCGTTGTGGCCGTTACAGAGCGATCACAGGACGCTGAACTGATGCTTCAGAAATCGACACGGTGCAGCAAAGTGCACCAACCTGTTCGCACAAACAATGCAGTTGTATTTGGAAATCACTTCAGATGAGACTATTGGCTTTGTTTGAGTGTTAAGTTGTGGTGGGGGTAGCAGCAAATGAAAGACAATGAAGCGCCACTACAATATTATTTTTACTCAGAAAGAGGACCAAAACTAAAACCTGGTGCGTTTTTCTTTTATCATGCACTGGCCTATTTCCTCACGGGGCATGTTGATAAAAGCTGACCAGTATGTCAATAAAGACCACAGAAAGGATTCTCAGCGTTATTGACGTCAATATGTTTGCCATTAGCTTGTGATGTATTAAATGCTTTTAAAATCATCTGACCCGGCGTATTGATGTGTGTCTCCACTTAAAATAAATGCCTATCAATATGGAGGACTGTGCAACCACGAGTGCTGTAAATAAACATTATTTGAATGGTTGAGTTAACAGTTTTGTCTATATTAACATATAAAGCTTACTGCATTGCAAGAGAAGGAAACGTAGCAAAGCATCACATTCCTGAGGCTGAAATCATGAAATGTTTGGCATTTTGGCTTAAAAATGAGTTGTAACGCTTAAACCATTACCAAAAATGTTTCTGTACATGGACTACTCACTTACTGGACCCTGTTTTGAAGCTCTCAATGATAATCTGATGTTAAAATTACTAACTGCAAAGATATTGTAAATCAGACAAAACCCTTAATGCAAATACTTTCATAAAAGCTCTTTTGTTAACCATTGTAACATTTATACATCCAATAAAATCTGTAAATAAATGTAGGAACATCTTGTATATGCACTTGCACTTTCAGTTAGCTCTTGTTTTACTGGCATGCACTCAGGCTCAGAGTGTGACAAGTGGCGCTCTATCAGACAATGTCCTCTTTAGAGCCAGAAGTGAATAACTGACATCGTCATGATCCTTGGCACACAATGCCCTGTCTGTTATTGTTGTTGGTTTGTTTTTGTTTACGCGCCGAGCAAAACAGCATAACGTTCGCCTGCACGCACAGTCCCCAGCTGCAGAGCAGGTTCTCATATTTCTGTTTTACTGCTTTTACTACTACACTATTTATTTGTGCAACAAACTTTGCGACATGGAGGTTTGAGTTCAAACAGTGAATCTGGCTGCAGGGCTACTTTGTGACAGCTGCAGTGGTGTAAAGTAACTAAGTAGATTTACTCCAGTATTGTACTTCAGTACCATTTTTAGGTGCTTGTACTTTATCTGAGTATTTCAATTTGTTACTGCTTTGTACTTCAAAGTAATCATTTCATAATCATCACGTTAATAAGACTTTAGTTACACCTGGAGTAAATTCACAAGCTACCCTGCAGTACACAACGTCATTTAAATTAGCTGCACCTTTACCAGCTTTGATAACACTTTAATGCATCAATATTTATAATAAAAACATGTAATATATATTTCTGAAATGGGTCAATTTGCAAAATGAGGACTTTCTTTTGGAGTAACTTAATTTTTGAACTTTTACTTGTAACAGAGTATTCCTACACTCTGGTAGTTATACTGTAACAATATCTGAGTACTTCTCCCACCTCTGCTACTGCTATTTGCAACATGGGAGTTGAAGTCCAAACAGTGAGTCTGGCTGCTTTGTGACAGGTGGGTTTTTCTCCTAATCAGCGCTACAGAAGTCCCATGAGCCTTGTCCCCGAGGGCTCGCGCAGGAATGTCGTCCCAGCTAGAAATATCACCCTGTGTGGATCGAGCTGAACCTCCAACATTTACTCAAGTACAACCAACATACTCCACTTTCTATATTACATTTATAAAGAGTGTATATGTTGCTTACAGTGGAGCAGAGGTGGGAGAAGTACTCATATATTTAAGTAACAGTAGAAGTACCAGTGTAGGAATACTCTGTTACAAGTAAAGGTCCTGCATTCAAAATGTTACTCAAGTGAAAGTACAACAGTATTAGCATCAAGATAAACTTAGAAGTACCTAAAGTAAAAGTACTCATTATACAAATTAGCCAATTTCAGAATAATATATTAAATGTTTTGATTATTGATTCAAGTGTTATCAAAGCTGGTAAAGGTGCAGCTACTTTAAAGGACTTTGTATGCTGCAGGGTAGCTTGGGTTTTCCAGGTGCAATAAAGTCTTATTTAAGTGTTGATTATATTTCACATTAGTTACTAAAGGTATTGAATAGATGTAGTGCTGGAGTAAAAGTACATGATTTACCTCTGAATTGTAGTGGAGTAGAAGTACATAGCAGCAAAAAATGACTCAAGTAAAGTAAGTATCTCAAAATTGGACTATACAGTTAATTCACACCAATGAGTATAACCGACATACTCCACTGTTATACTCCCTTTAGAAAGAGTGTCTTTAATGCTTACAGTGGAGCTATTTAAGGCTAGAAAAGCTCTGGAAGTCACCCACCTTCTCTGCCCAGAGCTCCCGTCGCTGCGAGCAGCACGGCCCCGACGAACAGCAAACTTCTCGCCGCCTCCATCTGCTGCGACCCGGCGCGGCGGCGCCTCTAGTCCATACTCCAAACTTCAGATGGTTCTACTGTTCCCAGCGAGGAAAGACCGTATTCCGACTTCTTCACGTATCCAGGGTTTGTTTTTCCTTTTCTTGGCACCTTTTACAGTTGTTGTTCGTTTTCCAATCTCAGTGACTTCCTCCCTGGAATTCCGTGCCTGTTGGTAGTAAAGCGTGACAGCCGCGCGCAGGAGCAGAGGCGCGCGCCCGTGAAGGCCTGAGCTGGGAGTGGCAGGTTGACTCAGCCCGCCCTCACTTTAAATATACAGTCAGGGATCCAAACTCACTTATCTGCAGGGCACTGGTGCTCCAACTTCATGCAAAACACTTTGTACATTTAGTGTTGGAAGAATATTTTTACTTCATACTTCTGCGTAAAATAGCCCACTCTGTTACAGGTAACAACAGGCCTATAGAGAGAGTGAGAGACAATAAGAATGGGGAGAATCCTGAAGTAACAAAAGTAAAGCTACTTATTATGCATATTTCAGATTCATATCATATTCTTAATTATGATGTATGAGTTATGTTTCCGTATTGCATACAACACTTTAATGTTTAAGGCTTTTTTATTACGTTTTTATTATTAGCAAACTTGGAGATTTGTCTGCAAAATAAACCACAATAATCAGCTAATCCTATCTTGCAGAAGTAGTAGGCCCACCTATGTCTTTCATATCAAAGTAGTATTCAGGTATAGTACAAATACATCAAATACTATACTTACTTAAGTAAAGTATACTTAATAAATAATAAAGTAATAAATATACTTATTAACATGACATCACTGTTCCACAGTAAACTTGTGTCATTCAATTAACCATAAAAAAGTATGTCTTATCTATTAAGCTATTATATATGACTGTATTAATCATTCATTTAAGGAACAATGCTTCAAAGCATCCATGGGCAAACAGGTTTTACAATAATCAATCAAAACTGTATTCAAACACATCCCTCAAACCCCCCCCCTCACATATGAGGCCCCCTAGCTGCATTGCAATGAAAGGTTGTGCTGTTTATACTTTTATATTTAATGTTCTTCCTCTATGTATGTGTGTGCGCAGCTGACTTTTTAAAAAGGGAGATGTTTCGCATTATACTGACTTGGAGCATCTTCATAGTTCTCATGCCCTTCACTTCACGGTCACAAATCAGGAGTTGAGGGAGGAAGAATAAACTCTATTCATCCAAATCTATCCACTCTCTCCACCCACAGCAGCCAGGGTCAGAGTCCGACATATTGCACGGAGCTATCAGGAAACAAAACTAAAAGCTACTCTCTTAGGCATGCACAACACAAGTTTTCACAATAATTACTTATCCTGCGTAAATCTTTGATTTTTCCACAGAATAGCCTTAGTCACTGAGGCAGTTTCATGAGGAGTTTTCAAGTATTGGAAAAAGTTAGCAGGCTCTGTGGAAACATGTATACTGTAACCTCATCTACTGTATAGTAATAGATGAGGAAGTCAGCTGTGCAGATATAACTGTGGGACAATGTATTATTTATTTAAAAATAACAATAAATAACCTTGTAACATGACAAAACCTGTAGCTAAGAGGTGCAAGAACTTGGTTGTAATTGTCTCTCGTAAAATCATGAATAATTGTTGGGGGTCAACAAGTAGGTGAGAGATACTGTGTGCAAGTGAGAGGACAGACTGCAGATGCTGTAGCTCCTTCAAGTGTAAGAACGCTTTGTTTTGGACAATGCATATCAATGAATATAACAAAGTTTTACTCAAAAGTGTACTCAAATCAGCAGACGTAACATGCCTAGACAAATCTGTCTTTTAGAGACAATATTAACCTCTACAAAGAATGTGTGCATATGATACTGGCACAAATGGTCCAAGGTCAGCAGAACCTTCAGACTGAAGAGGGGAGGGGGGAATCACAGACTACATGTCCCTTAATTTGCAGTCATTTTCGTGTCGTGAATAGGTTTTTATTCAACCAGACAAAAAAACGTATTGGATACAAGTCAGGCAAACCTTGATTACTTTTTAAAATATAATAAAAACAAAACAATACATCAAAACTGGTCCAGAGTAAGCTGAATCAAGAAACAGCCTGTGACCAGAGAAGTACGTATGTATTGAGAATACCATAACTTTAATCTGTATGAGAAGCTCAGTTTGAACTTCATTTCTTGTTTAGAAATATAATGTGATGCTTGAAATTTGGCTTTTTTGTCAAATAAAAAAAAAAAACGTAGAAACTGGCTGCAAAAAGGATACCGGTCAATGAGTGCATGCTGCAATTTGTTGAAGTCTGCAAATTGGCAGATGCAGTCTCAAAAGACAAGTGGGTCACAGAGAATTACATCACCAGGGCTGCTTAATATCAGGGTGCAAAAATGACACTGTTGAAGTGGTGGATTCCTAAAGTACCCCTTTGTCTTGTGGCCCCTAAAAAAAACTGTGAAAGCCCCTTGCTATACTTCAGATGTCTTTGAGTTGTATTCATTTTCTTTAAAAAGACACATGCCCTAAACCTCTCAAATCATTCCATTGTGTTTTGAGACAGAAAAAGAGGTCTTTATAGTGTAATACCCCACTTGAATATACATTTGGAAATGTGTCAAACCACAAATCTTTTATTTGTGAAACAGATTCATTTTAACAGGTGAAAAAAGACACAACAAGCCCTAATGTTCATCAACAAAGAACACTTTTATTTGTTCCATTTCTTTTAGATTTTTTGGTCAAACATCAGATGTGAGGTGAAGGAAAGTGCACTCGGGAGGTGATGTGCGCAGGGCAGCAGGCAGAGGGCAGCAGATGAGTGAGGGAAGAAGAGGGCTGTGGTTATTGGTGAAGAAAAGAACAATTACATGATTCACAGAGCAGAAACTGGAGTTTGTTTTACGCTTATTTCTCAGGAAATGTTCAACTTATTGTAACAGATTTCAATAGTAATGTTTGTTCTTATAGCTTTTTCAATGTACAGTAGGTCATCATTTGGCCCCAATCACAATACTATGAATATCAGTGGTTTATTATCATCAACAGTTTTGTCTGAAAAAATATATGTACCATATAATGCTTCTTATCTCATAAGGCCAGCATCTCTGCCATCATTTCAGGAATCTGTATACCACCCAAACCTACGACAACCTCTCCCTGTCTTTCTTTCTTTCTCCCCCCCACCCCTATCACAGGCTGTCAGCAAAGCTAAATGTACCCGTCGTCTCACACACATTCACACACACATGCTCCTACATCAGTAGTTTTACAAAAGGATCGAGCACAATCTAGCTCTCTCTCACATACACACACACAGTGATTCAGTTTACAATGGCAAAAACAACATGATGTTGAGTCAAGGCAACGTGTACGCAGTCATTGTTCTCGCACAGAAATACAAAAGGCATGGGCAGAAATTCGGACAATAAAATGCACGTAAATGTTCACACACTCGTAAAGTGCCCATATGGAAGAGAGACTCTGAGGGGTGAAGACATACAGGGTATGAATTCAAAAGTTTTGGTGTGTAGTGGAAATGAAAGAGTTGATAAGAAAGAAGAAACGTGCTCATTGACAAAATGTTATCATACAGTATGTAAGGCAGGCATGGAGGGAGTATTTGACATGATGGGGCAGTTATCTGTACAGCAGCTGGCAGTGTGTGTGTGTGTCATTTTGGGGGATATTACAGCAAGAATTGCAAATCCAAATAATGGGCTACATCTAAACACTCACTCACACACACCACATAACCCCAGAATGTATTCAAACTCTTGATGGAAATGAAAAGGCCCCAGCTTCTTGTCGCAGATCATTTTCTCCTTCTCCTCACACTAAAAGGCAATCCAGGTGAATTAAAATAATATTTCCATTTCATGTTCATCAGGCATATCCCAACCCAAAATTCAAAATCAAGTAATTAAACAGGGTAAAGCAAACAAATTGGTCACAACGTAGAATTAAAACGACTAAGGTGGCTGATAAAACTGGAAATATAAAGGTTAATGAAGAGTATGAGAAACAAAAGCAGCAGTGGAAACAATGCAGGCACAAAAATAAAAGGTGTGATGGTGATAAAAGAAGAAAAAAAACACAGTCAGCTCGAATGGCCTTCAAACATAAACCCCCCCTCCTCTTTCTCTAGAACAATCCGCTGGCAGACCCCACCTGCCCACTTCACAAGGGGCTCGTCGTCTCTGTGTCAGCCAGTCCATTTTTGGCTCAGATGGACCCTGACACATGCTGAACCAAACACAGTGATGGCCTGGCAGGGGATCTGGTGCCATCTATTGTCAGCCACAGCAAACTGCCAACAGCGCAACGCTCAGCGAGAGGGACATTAAAGTCATGGGTTCAGGGGATCAATTTCAGAAACACCCGAGAGTCGGAAAAGCAGGATATGCATCAAAAATATTTCATTACGAGGTCAAAAACTGGGTCTGCTGTGGTGGGAGACTTTCTTTTCCTTATCCTGTTTTGCATTGATGTTAAAAAAAGGAAAAGAAGTCGTGGAGCAATCGTCATATCAACAATAGAGAAAGTAAAGCCCAAATAAATTATTTAAAATAAAAATTAAAAACATGTAAACAGAGTCTACTCTGATGGATGTCATGCATGTCGTCCGTGGGGCAGAGCCACTTCCGTGTCCGAGTGTCCGGCTGCTCTGATTGGAGGGGTGCGAGGGTGTTCCCGGGGTGAAGAAGTGACGAGGTCCTCCTACTCCACTTTGACACCCATCTTCTCCGTGTTCAGTAGATAGAGGCTGTCGTCTATCAGGAAACTGGAGGGAGATAAAGTAAGGGTAATGTATCAGGTTATTATATTTAGGAGAACAAATTATAAGTGTAACCATTTTTCGAATGATTTTAAAGTTGCGATATTAGAGGGAATTATCTTTTGTTTTAAATTGTTTACATAATCGTTGGAAAATACATACAAATTATAATGATTTTTTTTTTTTTTAAGAGGATCTGTACCAAACAATGATTTTTATAAAAATCTGTGCAATCCTGTTTATTGGCTGGGACTTCTCTGGAGCTCCGAAATAATAAGCATCAAATTATACTTTCACTTATTTTGCCATTACCAAATATTTTACCTAATCCAAATTTGAATATTGCACTAGTTCATAATGTGATTCCGATAAAATGTCTATTAATGTGCACCATTATTATCTTTATTGATATGGTATTTAATCCTCTCTTTCCACACTCTAAGCTA